CGGTGCGGCCTTCTCGCCAGAGGAGGAGTTCGAGGAAGCGTTGGCCCACGGCGTAGCCGTGCTGGTTTAGCCTGCGGATGTTAGCTTGTGGATGTTGATTTGGGTGATATGTTGGACATACTTCTTTTCGAGGTCCTGCACGCCGTAGACTTTCTTTTGGGCGTGCTGTACCATTTCGCCGAAGAGGAAGGCGAATGCGGATTTTGACAGTTCGGATGTCTTTGTGCGGTTTAGGTGGCGGTCGTAGATGGATTTGCGGGTGAGGGAGTAGCGTAGGTTTGTGGAGGCGGTTAGACTGGCGTGCTTTGGCGTTGGCGAGGCGCCGGTTGACGCTGGGCGAAAGGGCGAGGTGTCTCTGTTCATGGTGATGATGATTTACGGACAGCCGGGAGTGGTGGGATATCGGATGGCGGGTGAGGTGGTGAGATGATGGGGATGTTGGTGTTGATGTTGGAGAAGTGGAGGTAGCTTGATAGCTGAGATGCGCGCCAAGGCTGCGTGTCTGGCTCGAGTAGCGATCTTGGATATATCAACTGGCATACATGAACACGCATCAATTGGACTCTACAGACCTGATGATGCAGATATTTAAAAGGTTTACTACTGAACCTGTTGCGGCTCTAGTGCGACGGCATAGACGCCGGCTGTCAATTCTCACGGATGAAGAGCAATTGCTAATATATGCATATATGCGTATGTATGTACAACAGAAGGCCCGCAGGATTGATGACAGTCCATCTTGATAGCCACCAACCGCGATAGAATGCCCAGATACCACAGACCGAATCAAAGTGGTGGACTCTGATTTATCGTCTGTATTCCTTCACTCCGGCCTGATAAAACAATATTATAGCTATTATAAACCACCGCTATGCATTTCCCAGACCCTGATTCTCAGCTTCGTCCCGCCGCCGCCGCTTCTCGAGCAGCGACTGCTTCTTCTGTTCAAGGAAGGCCATGTACCGGTTCTCAGCGCTGTCCATGTAGAGGCCCGCCCCGATGGCGACGGACATGTAGAGGGGGTATGCGATGGCTTCGGCGCGGATGAGGTGCGGGCGGCGTTGGATGCCGAGCTGCATCCACCGGCAGGCGGCGCCTATAAACGATGATATGACAGATGTTAGTATATGACATATGGATATATATACGCCAATTGGCGGGAGGCGTGTGTGACTGATAATGATGGAACGGCAGAGGGGCCGTACCAAAGAAGGCGTAGAAAGCAATCGAGCTCATGGTCGTCGGCAATAGGTGCAACAACGACGGCAACAGCAGTGTCGGCCGGCAGCTGCAGAAGACCGGTGAGGTAGGATATATCCGTCGAGGCAGCAGTCGTGTGAAGGTGGAGGAGTGCGACGGGAGGTGGTGATAATGGAGAAGTGCTGTCGGAGGTTTTGGCGGTGAAGTGAATGTTGAGATCCGATTGGCTGGACCAACAAGCAACACCAAGCCGGAGACGAGCCTGGCAGGGCCACAAGATCACGACGACATCCATCAACCACACCTCAATTAATATGCACTATCGCCATTTCCAGGAACATAGTACGAATCACACTGTAGCTCCCGGTTCCAGCAGCACTAGCGATATGTCACTGACGACAATGACATGTACAGATCACACCAGACGACCCTTACAGCAATCTCCACACCCTTGCGATACGCCCTGAATACCACCTGCTAAGGCGCATATATACGTATATACTTCGTACACGCCTCAATTGACGGCGTGGCACGGCGTCCGAGCTTCCTGATGAAAGGGCGGCGGGCTAGCTGCCTTTCGCATGGCCGCTCGTTTGCGACTGCCCGCAGCTCCTGATCTGATTCGACTCGGCAAGGTGGCCATCCCTGTTTGATCTTTGATCTTCGCCTCTCCTTCTTCTTCTTCTCTTCCTCGTATTCCAGCGTCGTCTTCCACTGCACTTCTTCCGTCTCTAGAAAATCTCCGTCACCTCCAGCATGCGCCATCCCTCACGCGCGTCTGATCCATCGCCACCTCCGCTCTCACTCGTCGTCCACGCATTCCGATTATAACCCGTCGTCCGGAGCTTGAACTTCGGTCTCCCAATCCAGCGCGTCTTTACCCACGCGAGACCGCGCTGCCAGCTACCAACCGGCTGCCTGCCAACTAACCGCGGCACGGCTCCAAGGACGACTTGGCTCGCGCAATGGCCGCCACTAACGGCCCGCTGCGGCCTTGGCCAATCTTCCTGCTCGCCTTCTGCGGCGCATGTCTGTTCATTATCAACATTATCCTGATCACCGGCGTCGATGTCAAGGGCCGGGTGTCGAAGATTATAGTGCGGCCGCACAAGCCGTTCCACATCGTACGTCTACAACTATGCAGCGCCTTTGTAACGATTCTATATGTGATATATGGGCTGACGAACCGATGCTATGGCGTTAACTACAGCCACCGGATGCTATCAACGAGGACAGCGACCTGCCCGATGAAATTGACCGACACCCCATAGTCGCCCTGACACGCGACCAGCTCAAAAAGTTCAAAAAACACAAGTTGAGCCAGTCCAGTTCTTTCTCGCAGGTCATTGCCAAGTACCGCCTGAAATATGGCCGTCACCCTCCACCAAAGTTCGACGAGTGGTATCGTTTTGCCAGGAAGCGGAAATGCGCCAACCTCGACGACTTTGATCAGATCATGGACGATCTGCGGCCCTTTTACGGCATTCCACCAGCTGAGATCCGCGCTATGGTCCGAGCCATGGACACCCCTAAGAGTCGTGTCTCTATTCTCAGGGTGAGCATTCTCTCTGCTGGTGTTCCTATTCGATGGCTTCTAACGTCGGCTTAGATCCGTAGTAATAAAGTTGCCGAGACCCTCCGACCCGACGCATGGCGAGCAGGTATCTTTGCGAAGATGCTTGGCGTCATTGCAGAGTACCTGCCAGACCTTGATATTGCGATGAACTACCTCGACGAGCCGCGTGTGGTGGTCCCCTGGGAGGAATTGCAGGAAAGGCTTGCCATTGAGCAGAAGAACAGGGTTCAGCCCGCCGAGACTGTGAACGAGTTCTCCAAGATTGACTGGGACAATGGTGAGGAATCATTCCTCTGCTAGATCTGTGGGTGTATATCTGACAGTCACGCAGCAACAAAGGTGGAAGTGGACCCCGGTTTCTTTGAATTCTCAGGCATGAACTACATGGACATCGCCTCCAAAGGCTGCCCACCGGGTTCCTACGCCCGCCGGCCAGAACTTGACATCAAGCGGATCGAGAGCACATACAAGGACCCCGTCGGCGGTTTCATACGCGATTTCAATCGTTCCTCCGACCTGTGCACGATGGGCCCGACGCTCTCTAATCTCCACGGCTTCCTCTTCAGTTCCTCTACGACCGTGCCGTCGCAGAAGTTGATACCGATCTTTGGCGAGTGCAAGGTCAACGTGAACAACGACATTCTCTTCCCCGCAAACAAATATTACGATCCTGACGACACACGCTACGCTTACGATCCTTCTGGCGACGGACCGTGGCACGAGAAAACCGACCAGATGTTTTGGCGCGGCGTGACGTCCGGTGGCGTCCAGAACAATGCAACATACATGAATCTCCAGCGCCACCGCTTTGTCGCGATGACCAACGGGACCAAACTGGGCAACGACACAACTTACACCATCATGGCTGCCATCAGCGAGGACAATGCAATCGGCGAATACACGCCGACTTATTTCCACCCAGCCAATTTCGCCAAGGTTGCAACGGACGTCGCATTCTCTGAGATCGTGTGGTGCGTGCCCAACTGCGATTTCCTCGCGGATAAGCTGTCCGCGAGGCCCGGGCTAGCGTTCAAGGATAGCTTCAAGTACAAATATCTTGTGGACATCGACGGGCACTCGTTCAGCGGGCGGTGGCACGCGTTCCTGAAGAGCCACAGCATGGGCATCAAGGCTACGATCTTCAAAGAGTGGCACGACCAGCGACTGTTCGAATGGGTGCATTTCGCGCCGATGGATAACCGGTTCGACGATCTTTACGCGCTGTTGACGTACTTTATGGGCCTGGAGAAGGGTGCTGAGGGGAGCGATGGAGCTTATGTGCCGCGACACGACACGGAGGCGAAGCGGATCGCTGACCGAAGTCGCGAGTGGGCGACGCAGGTGCTGCGGAAGGAAGACGTTGAGGTGCGTATTCCCTTGAATATTCTAGATGTTGGATTATGACTGATGTTTTGACTGGACAGATTTACATGTTCCGGCTAATGTTGGAGTATGCGAGAGTCGTGGACGACAACCGCGACCACATCGGATACAGCGGTGACGGCAGCGAGGTGGACGCAGAGGAGAAAGACGGATGGTGGGGCCGCAAGCAGCGACGGTGGTGGAGTCGGTGATGATTGACTGCTAAGTTGTCGGATTCAGTTCTTCGTCTTGATCTCTGCCATACCGCGTGACTGGCTTGGTCCAGCTACGATGCATGCACGATTGCTTTTTTCTACAATTTGGTGATTGATTGATACCGGGTTTTTGCATGGCGCTGCGCATAGACTTTTGGTTCCCCTTCCTTACCTACTGTTTTTATAGCCTTTCCTTTCTTTGTACATGTACTATCTTTTGTTTGCGTTCCTTCTTACCTGTACTATCCTTTGGCTTATCATTCAAGTTCTTGGTCTTGATTCTTTGTTTTTTGACCGATTGTGTATATGTGTTTGGGAGTATAGGGCTGACGGTGGAGAATGGATGTATCATGTTGGATAGATTGATGTATCTGTGTACATAGATTTTCTGGGTTACCAATCTCAATATCGATATTGTGCGGAATAGCTGTGTATTAAATGAGTCTTTAGGCATGCAGGCACACTGCGAGGCGGCTAGGCGCCTTCCAGGCGCGGCTCTGCGAAGCGACGCAACCCGCAGTTTACCACACGCTCGCCCTGTGCGAAGTCATTCCACCTAGACCCACCGCAGCTCATCCTCAAATGACCGATTCAATGCAGAAAATGGCAAAAATTGAAGGAAAAGATATGAGATTGATCTCGAGGATGGGCCGCAGTCGGATTTGAACCGACATTTCTCCCTCATTACTCCAAATGCAAATATGAGAGTGTGCTAGTCCTTACACCATACAGCCTTTGTTTTTGTCTGAAGGTTTACGATAAGTTGAGGTTATGAGGAGTGGTTAATTGAACCACGAAGCGTCCGGCTTATGAATGTAATGTCATATGTGATTGATTAAAATTCAAGACAAATAGACTAGCAAATATTATCGGATTTATTGCGTTATCGATAAAGTTATCGTAGCGTATTCAAACTGATGTTTTGTACTTGCTGCTCAGGTCGAGAAGTCTAATGTAGAGCACGAGTGCTCAAAAGGTCTTAATAATTATATACGACGATGACTGACACAACTGTGCAAGTTGCTTGAAGCCCTATTTGATCCCTTCATGTTCTCTCTGCATCTCTTCTAGTTCCTTCAATTCGTTCCGGTATGCAATGGTAGCCTCCCGGCGGTTTTTAGGTGCCTCGAGGCTCTCACCTAAATCAATGAGCCGAACCTCACGGCCTGAAACGGCAATGTTACTCATCCGAAGATCGCCGTGTAAGATGCTTCGAGAATGCAGTGCCTTGAGGGCACGTTGGGCCTGTAACCAAAAGGACTCGGGCAAGTGAAGGTCGGGATTTCTAACGATATCTCTTGCGGACGCTCCACAATCCTCGAGGACAAGGATTCTGAGCATACCCCAGTGCGTTCCTGCTGCGTAAAGTTGTGGGATAAAGTGCCCCTGTATATCATGCAGACGAGAATATCTGATCGATTGTAATGTATCCGTTAGCTCCGTTGGCTATGATCACCTGAACATACCATCCACAGTTGACTTACATGGCAATTTCCTCATCGGGTTTCAACCGCGACCGACTGTCAGCGGTCATGTCGTATATTTTGCAAACGACTGGTAATCTCCACTTTTGCAGTTTTTCGTTTTCATGCTCCCGTTTGTGGCGGGCCTCCGCTCTGACAACTGGTGCGATGATCTGATGCCGCCCGTCAAATCGCAGCTCCATATCCATCCAAGGCATCTTCGAGCCATCGCTGACTACCTCGTGCTGTGGGTCGAAATCTAGGATGTGCGTCCCTGGAGGAGCACCAGTAACCGGCGAATAGAAGAAGTACCCTTCTCAAGAAGTGTAATGGCACGCGTATGTAAGTGCTGCCACGGTGCTTGCGAGTCCTTCATCGGAGTTTTTGAAGCAGCGGGACACTCGTAACCCGGCATCTCCCTCCTGGCGGAAAAAGAAGGTGGAGTCGTGATTTGAGAGCATGCCGATTTCGATGTCATTCCAGGACATGTAGCCGTAGAGTTGTTGTATGGCTTTCATCAGCTATTTTCAGAATCATGTTTATGCTCATTGAAAGCCTGGACAACATCATCTGGCATGGGCAGTGTCCAAGGAGTTTTATACACGAAGACAGGTCGAGCCTTTCCTCTCTCGCGCTTGTCGCGGTCGTCTGGACGTATCGCGAATATCCGATCCGGATCCCCGATGTTAAGGTGGGGCCAGGGGTATTCGAAATAGCAGTTTATTTGGAAGATGGTTCTTAGAATTTCCTTTGTCGGTTCCTCGAATCTCTTAATCGCCAGATGCACAAGCGTCGACTTTTGGCCGACAAGGTGGTCTAGAGATTGTTGCCTCTCCAGCCGTTTTGCTGTGAGGTCTATATCCTATGAAGTGTTTCCACGATGAGGAATGGGAGGGTCAGCTAATTCAATATAAGTGCGCTGACTATGAAAGGCAGGGCTGGACGTACATCCTTCTCCAGATGCGGTTCTAGCAACTTCTTGATGTTATCATCGAAATCCGCCCAGGGGACGATATCCGTAGGTAGACCCCGTAGGTTGGTGGGTAGACTGGTTCCTGAAGAACTCATGGGCGTGGTCTTCCATATATATATCCTCAGATCAGGGGCCGCCGCTCGGTCGAGGTATTCGGACAGTTTCATTTTGTGATCAGACTAGGTGACAGTGCCGATTACCTCGTTGAGAATAGTCGCGTAGCCGATTAGTTAGTGATCTCACAGGTTGGCGCTTGAGCACTGAGCTTCTCTTGGGTAGTAGTTGTGCGAGGGGCCAGATGATAACTTTGTCGTATCTGCGCAATGGGCTGATAGCATTCAGAAACCGGTGTGGTTTGTGATTAAAATATCAGTGATTCTTCTCAGGAGGTTAGGTACACACAAGACGCGGCGGCCCGTAATGCACCCCAGCTAACCCGAGTGCAAGAAACCCGTAAACAGAGGATTTAACACCGATGAAAGAACGCCCGGGCTCCGTCTTTACCAGCAGACCACGCTACTCAAGCTGAAGGTTCAACAAAAATCCAAGGTGTAAGATTCGATTTAAGGTTTGCTTGAAAAGATCGATATTTGCGCGTATATACGCAAAGTCAAAGCACAGGTTCAACACTATAAACCCAGGCTATGAGAATGAGTATATCGAGTCCCCACCGATCTCGTGATGCAGTTCAAGTATCTCAGATATATATAATATACTAAGAGATCTATAGATTTAATGCTATCATATGCTGTCTATCAGATAATCTGGATGAATAACGCCCCCACCTAACGCCGTGCATGTACAAAACATGTTACAATCAATCGACCAGTCGTCGTACTAGCATCCAAGCCTGTTGCCCTAGCAGATATCACCAAACGTAGTATCAAAGTATGGATCAGATTATACAGACCCAGCTAGCGCGGCGAACGGATTAGTACCCACACGGCCTTCAATCTCGCCTTCTCGTTCACCGATCCGCGCGTTAACAGTATCCCATTCCCCGCGCCGCTCGCGGATAACTTTTCCCTTCTTCCGGCTCTCCGTTTCCTTCTGCACGAGCATTTCTGCGACGGCGGCAGCACGTTCCTTGCCGAACTCGCGACGGCGTTTCTGGACTTTCGACTTCTGACCGCGCTTGTAGGCGGTTGTGGCGGCTGTGGATTTCGATGTGTGTTTTTGGACGCCGGCGGAGGAGGCGGCAAGGGTGCGGTGGACGGCGTCGAGGACTTTGCGGGTTATTGTTTCCGAGGTGGGGGTTGTTAGAGACGTGCGGGTTGGGGAGGAGGGGCGCGGGGCTGTCGTGACAGATTTATCGAGGTTGAGAGATGGGGAGGTAGCGCGACGGGCGGCGCGGGAGTGGACTGATAGAGCTGCAGATTGAAGGCATGGACGTTAGCTTGACGTTGATGGGATAGAGTCTATCGCTCTCGTTCGATATGGATACATGCAACCAAAGGCGACGCATCAGTGAGGAGCGCTCCGGAACTGCTTACCCTTCTTTACTTTCGCCATCGGAGTTGTATATATGAAGTATTCGAGTTAAGGAGTGTAGACGAATATTAGTATAGTGACGAGTCGAGTTCGATGAAATGATTCGAGCAAGAGCTCAAAGTCCAACTAAGCTTTGTGGTTTTCGATGTTGAAGAACAGGCGAATACCAATTTGGTCGCACACAAATCTTTTTTGGCGGTTCTGCGACAGGCTATTCCCCATGTGGAAATGCAACAAGGTCAACGCGTGATACGTCCAATCCGAAACACAGAGAAAGAGATATTTGTCGCAGGAGGGCAGACTCGCGAGGCGTTAGAGACTCCCCCTAGAGCCACGCCTGGGATCTCGTAGATGGGTCTGGTATTGTCCAGCATCCGCGATTCTCTTTGCCGCCACTGTTACCAATATAGTTCCGCTGTATGCCGAAATATATAATCAACGTCATCGACATCGTGCGAAATCAAGCAAGATCGGAACGTTATTTCAACGAAATATAACACGCAAAACAACGGACGGGACGACAAGATGGGTGCGCGACGGTCGCTCAAATCCAAGTCCCTTGAGGACAAGATGGACGCACTCAAGAAGCTGAACGCGGGCCCTCGCAGCCCTGGTGTTAGCAAGCAGAGATCCGTCCGCTTCAACCTCGCCCTCAAGTCCCGCCCGACTGCCAGTACTATCGTGGCTACCTCCTCAACCGGCCTCAGACAGGAGTCCTCAACCGGCCCCAGCGTCCCTAGTTCGGGCTCTTCCGATAGTGGTGGCTCCAGCGCCAATTCCACCGCCGGTGCCACTGCTTCCGGCTCTAGCTCCAGTGGTTCTGGTTCTGGCACCACCGGCTCTGGTGCTACTGGGTCTAGTTCTGGTAGCGGGTCTGGCACTGGGTCTGGCACCGGTTCCGGTACCGGCTCTGGTAGCTCGGGGTCTGGCGGCTCCTTCAATACCGATGACTACGCCTCCGACGATATCGGCGCCGTCGGTTGGGCAGAATTCCACGACATGATCATGACCGAAGGAAATGATGACAAGAGCAAGAAGGATACCGCCAACTGGATCCGCAAAATCCCCGCTGGCATGCACATACGCAGCAACCAGAAAATCGGAACCATCGCCGCCCCCGGCCGCCCGAACCTCTGCTACATCAACTCCGTCATCCAAGCCCTCGCCCCGACGCGTTTCCCACACTACGTCTCCCGCCAAAAGCAGGCCGGCGAATTCATCCCGCTAACCCTCCACGGATGCCTCGCCCGCTTCTTCACCGGCATCAACACCTGGTATGACGGCACGTTCATCGGCCCAATGCAGGACCGCGTGACCAGCGGGCGCGTCACGCAGACGGACACGCCTGAAGCCATGGGATTCGGGTACCCATTTGCGAGTATGGACGGCGGGTACAAGCAACAGGATGTGCGAGAGCTCATGCAGGAACTCTGGGTGGCGGTCGAGCGCGAGGCCCAGTCGGAGCGGTATGAGTACCAGGAAATTATGGCGAAGCCGGCGGATGGGTGGGTGACGCATCAGAACCCGATAACGGTGCGGCAGGTGAAGAAGCAGACGTGTTTGAGGTGCGGGTATACGTGTTTGGAAAGGGAGGGTAGAGGGACAGTTGGGGAATTGTTTAAGCCGTTCAATAGGACGAATGACGATGGAACGAAAAGGGTACGTATATGCAGTTACAAAATAGATTCTATGAAACTGCAGACTCAAAAGCACTCTTCGATTCTGTATGCTTCGAGAGCGTTCAAGTATTGAGGCTAGCTGGCTGACTAGCGGTTTTCACCTTGTAGGTCGATATTTCCACGACCCT